TGGCACATCTTTAGAGGCTGGAAGCACGGGTGTAAGGTTTGTGACGAATGCGATCATCATTCACACCTATATTGTAAGACCTGTAAAAAAGTAGCGAATAGAATATATAAGCGGTGTGAATGTGAAAAATTTAAGAGAAGCAAGAAGTGAAAGCTTCATTATTTCATAATAGCATCGAATCTTTGACTCATCTATTATGTCTTCGAATAATTATATAAAAATAAAAATCAGAATTAGCGATTTGGTAGTAATAATATCGATAGCAATAAAGTTTTATTTTCCGTTTTTTCTATATAACGATACATACAGTAGCCAACAAAAGTTAGTGTTGGGATCCGGATGTCAATTCGGATATCCGGATTGACATCTGCTACTAAAAATAGTCATCCGGATATCCATTATAAATGTAATATTATAATCCGGATATCCATTCGGATATATCCGGATGTATATCGAAAATGTGTACCAGGTTGTACTCTGGATGACCGGAAATCAAACCAATTATTAATGATATCATCAATTAATTAAATAAACTATCGATATACTATACTAATAGTAATTATCGTTATTTTAAAAGCTAATTTTCTTTTTTTTATTAATTCATTTCATATTTCACTTCATATTTCGCTTCATATTTCACTATATATTTTGCTACATATCTTGCTTCATATTTTGCTTCATATTTCGCTTCACAATTCGTTTCACACTTTGCTTCAAATTTGCTTCATCTGAAAAAATAAATATCGGACAGTTTAATGTGGTTTTATATATAGATCTTAACAACAAAGAAGATATCTTAAATCGGTTAAGTGAATTTCAAAAAATATCAAAAACCACTATTTGGCTAACCAAAATCTTTATTGTCAAAGAAAATAGTTATTTTTCGAGAGAAAATATAAATGTATATGGACAGCTACTTGCTGGTATTAAAAATTTTAAGAATACAAAAAAGCAAAATATTTATCATTGGGCAAACTGGCTTCTTATCTCTATCAACGGAATTTTGCTATAAAGACTGAATCATTACAAAGTGAAGCAAAAAAATTCGAATATAACCAGCATCAGTACAATGAAGAAAGTATAAAATTTCTCAAGAAAATGTCGACCCAACCATAATAAAAGCACGTAAAAAAAAGAAAAGCTTTCAAAAAATTCTTAATTTATCAAAAAAACAACGAGAATAAACAAAATTAATGATGTAAAAGTTTTTAATCTTTTATAAAAATATACATATTATTATGTGTTGTAACATTTGCAGAATTAACCGTATACTAATCAAACTTCAAAAATTTTCCTGATATTCATTCTGAACTGTCACGTAAGCATCCGGAGCACAACCTGGTCACATTTTCAGGTTGTTATTTATATCTATATTATAAGAAAAGGATAGGGAATAACAGGTGACACACGAATTTCTCTAAGATAGCGTGCCAAGTAACCTATAAAAAACGGTGTGAAATAACAATCGTGAATACTGCTAATAATCATCGCATATAGTATTTAGGATCAATAAAAACAAATAACTACGAATACTTTTCATAATCTTTTTATGTTTGAATATATAACATAATATTCTCTGAAAACCTTTAAAACAATCCGTAAAATTTGGTAAAAAAAATATAAAAGAATAGAAGATATATATAAACAACTATACTAAAAAATCCAGAATAGTATTACTATAAAAACTTAAACCTAAATTCAATTAATACTGATTCAAACAGTAAAACCCATCTAAATGTATTCTCTACAACTGCACACTTCATAGAAATTCTTTAAAGACACATATACCTAGCCCCAACTCATAAAACCACTATATATTTTGCTCTCTGTGAATAATCCTGAAAAGAGTATGCATAGAAACATTCTACTAGATAATGACGGAAAGTAAATGCTTTAAATTTAATACACCAGCTTTGGCACAAATTGGTGCATTAAATTCAAGACGGAACTTAAGAAAAATTTTCCTTCAGAAATAAAAGTTAGAATAAAACAAACAAATCTATTATCTTAGCATATTATTTTACTCAATTCTTGGCCAAATATTTTCCAAGTAAGTTGAGTTTCTCTTTAAAAATAATAGACGTTCAAATAATAATGATCCCAAATTTGTTCTATGAGTACTCATTATAATTCCAGCATTGGAAAAAAGACACTTACTGGGTGTAGACGTAGCTTGCATAGCCAAATATTCACGGGCAAAAGAAGCTAAAACAGGAAAGTTATTTTTATGTGCAGCCCACCAAGTGCAAGCATCTGATTCTAAATCAATCTCATTAAGTTGAAGATAATTTTCAACTTCATTATTTTGAGAAAGCGAACAAAATTTTTTTTTGAGAGATTTGGTAGATAATTCATTATCTAAGTTATATGGTTCAACAATATCTGTTAAATTTGTTAGTGGAGTTTGTTGAGAATCTTAAGTATACTTATTATACATATTTTTTAAGGTATCCATAACAAACTTGCGATCTAGAGAGTCTGCAAATTCAAGTTTTTTGTGACATGGATCCAACAATGTAGGTAGTAAATAATCATCAGCTGGAGAATTCCAATATGCTTCAAGAGCTTTGTACAATGCCGCCTGTACTTTTCTTCCCAAATTATCACAGTTTTGTAGAACATTGATATTTATTCTATGATGTTTTGAAATTTCACGCTCTTCAACATCTTCATATTCAATCTCATTATCAAAGACCGTTTCTAAGTTTTCTAAGTTAACCAAATTTGGTGTATTATAAAATTGGCAACCTTCATCATATAAATCTTGCTTAATATGCGCCAGGGTTGGATTAATAAATCCAATTATTGATGTTTTGCTTGCATCTAAATAAGTTGACGCTTCAGCAAATGGACAAAGAAAAATTACTAATTCTTTTAGTGCGTCCCATTCTGAATCAGTAAGCATTATTTGATGAAGATGTTTTGATTCTTTTCGTATTTGAGGGTCATTAGATTGTGCAATTGTTGCTTTTACCATATTTATTGCATTTTGTAAATGCAAAAGACGTCTTCATGCAAGGTATGAAGAATTCCACCTTGTTTCCGTATCCTGAATTACACGTAAATACTTATGATTTTTTTTAATTATCTAGAAAATTAATTTTAAAAAATTATTAATAAAGTAATTAAAAAAAAATCTCAAATATCTAAGTTCTGCAATGTTTAAAATTTAATATTGCATTAGGGTGAAAGGTATAAAATTCAGACATGCCCAAGAGTATATTGTTAAACTCGAAAGAATTTGGTATTGTCAACCTATTATAAGTACCAATATTGAGGAATATGCACTTATAGAGGTCTAAATCCGAATGATTTATATACAAGATTATTTTATAAATGATTAATTCACAGACAAGTTTTTATAAATTGTATAACTATATTATTAATTGTTGCGGCTGATGCTAGAAATGACTGAAGCTGGAAATCAAGAACCCTGATTTAAAAATATAAACTCTGCCAAAATCCACTTATACTCTTTTATTATCAAAACTAATCCTAAATCCTAATCTAAACCATGAAAAAAAAGCTAAAAAAATGCTTCTCCAAAAAATTTGAAAATTTTATATTAAAATATTTAAAATTTCCAGCTTCAGCCGTTTCCAGCTTCAGCCGCAACATTAATTTTTCTATGAAATGAATTCGTCTGTGAATTATTCATTTGTAAAATAATCTTGTCTATAAACTAGATTGTTTATAAAGTAATTATTTATAAAATGAATGATACCAATATTATGTAAAGATAAATATGAATATATTTGGTGAAAATTGAAATATATATTGTACAGTAACTTATCCAGATAACCTGAATAAAAGTTTTTCTACAGGTATAATTACTAGGTGAGAAGTATAAAGTTAAAGCTCTAAAGACATAAAAAGAAAGTGATATATTAGTTTAAAAAAAGGTATTATGAATTTATAAAATTATACTTATCTTAGATTAGAAAATATTCGAAGCGATTATTTATTAAGTGATTAATTAGGATCGGAGCTGAAATCTAAATCATGAAGCAATTAATTAATTATGTATATAGTATAAAATAGTATAGTAAAGTATAAGCATATCATATATAAAAAAGTATATAATTTATTTAAAAGTTAAAAGTAGTGTGATTGATTTGTAATATAATTAATAAGAGTTAATTAGGTATATATAAGGAAAGAAAAGGTAATAAATATTAGTAAATATATTTTTTAGTTAATTGATCAAATAAAAATAAATTTACTTGACCTTATTATTGCTTTTGATATTAGCCTAAGCAAAAGTCATTTGTATATATTATTAGAACTAGGCTTTTAGTGCAGGCTACTTATTTACCTGTAATATCAGATTAAATAAACATGCATTTATAGAGAGAAAATCACGGCAAAGTGCTTTTTTTGAAGAAGCACTTATAGAGGTCGATTGTATATATAATTATAGAAGTATGCTTAGACAAGAAAGGCATATTTTTAGTCTAAAGTATAGTTAAAAAATTTTTGTGCCTCTCACCCTAGTCTATAGAAAATTTTTAATATGAAAGACAATTATCTCTATATTATTACTATAAACTTATATAAAGAGGTTATTAAAATTTTAATTAGAATGCATTAGAATCACGCTAGCAATATTAGTTAGCAGAATCAATAGCTAGATATTTTTTTACTTAATCAATAGCAATAATCATGACTATTAGTAATAACTTACTATGATAAGTTACTATAATAAATTATCTGTAAGCTACTATAAAGAATATAAGGCATAGAAACTTTCGAGATTTTTCACTAGTAATTTACGATAATTTACTAGAAACTTATCATAAATTATTGCAATTTTACAATACTAGCAATAATTTTACTAGTAAATTTTTTAGTGAACCTAGCTGATTCGAATTCTAATACATTCCAATCTAAAATTTTGGAAATCTCTTTGTATAAGCTATTACTATAAATATCAATTAGGATTTTGTACAATACAAAATAATTAATATACTAATATACCTTATTTTCCGAAATTAGTAATTTTCTTTGTGCACCTTCAAGTCTTTCTGACTGTTTTGGAGAAACAAAAAATGCAATAAGTCTTTTGGTACGAGCTACAAGAGCTTGAGCAGGAATTAAACCTTTTCCGACAACTAATTGCAGTGTGTGAGCTGTGCATTTAATCCGACTAATTTCTTGTATTTCCAAAAATTCAAGAGCTTTAACCATGTTAATAGCATTATCTGTAGTAATTGCCTTTACTTTATGCAATATATCCCAATAATTAATAGTCTCAAATAAGGTATTTTAAATATTTTCTGCTATATAAGGATAAGGACAAAGTACAATAGCAAGTAAAACCTCGTTTAGCTTAAAATCCTGATCGATCCAATGACAGGTAATACCAAGATATGATTCACGATTTCTACTAGTCCAAAGATCACATGTAAGTGAACATGAAGTTGCAATATCTTTTAATTTTTGTTTTAAAACATTAGAAGAAAAATTATAAGCATTATGTATCATTGATTTAACAGCTTTACGGGTGGGTAATTCATAATAAGGATCTAAAGTGGCAATAAATGCTTTAAATTTTTGTGATTCTAAAATATATAATGGTTGCGCACTATCAATAATCCATTCGACTAAAGAATGGGTTTGATTTTGTTTGCGCTTTAAATTACTAGTTGTAGTTTTAAATATAGTATCTATTTTTAACTGGTCTTTTGATTTTAAACTATTTTCTTTAGTAATTCCATGTACGCTAGAAAGATGGTCCCACATATTTCCTGTTGATCTACCTGTATTGCAGATTATATTGCATGTCTGCTTTTGACGATTTCTAACAATCTCCAGAGGACACCACCCAACATGATTTCCTGTTTCTATATGCTCTAAAAGGCGAAAATAATTCCAAACTTCACTAGCTAGCTTACTGGCACTTGCTTTTGATAAAGGTCTATAGCCATCTGGAATAGAGTAGGAATCTTATAATGAATTATCATTTACATCTGATATATACTCTTCATTTTCAGATGTAGTTTCAGTATTTTCATTGAAAGACTCAATAGGTTCAAAAGATTGGAAAGCATAATTATCATTTAGTTTTTGTAATCTTTTCAAATTTTTTGGGAGTTCTTGATTTTTTTGTTTTTTATTAGGAATCATACCATTTTGTCTAATAGTATCAATATGGGCTTAGTAGTAAATGAGAATTTATATTTAATTAGATGATTTAAATATTAATAATATGATAATTACAATATTATAAAATATTATAGATAGTAATTAAGCTCAACGCTAAAAGAAATTCAAAAAACAAATATAAAAATTTAACTTAAGATTTAAACTCGTGAGTTATAAGAAAAATAAGGGTACAAATAATTACTTTATTATAGAGAAACCCAAAGTAAGATGTAAATTTTTATCGGATTTTTATACTTTTTTATATTTTTATAAAAATTTCTACTATTTTCTATCTAATCTATCTTGTATTTAAAGCGTGTGAAAGTTTATTGCTTTGGAGCTTTTTGCCTTGACGATAAAAAGTATTTTCATTAGATTCATTGTTTTTTTCTTGATTACTAATTAAAAATTTGTTTTAATCTAACTTAATTTCATCCGTTTCTTGTGAATTAGAAGCATTCTCTAAATTTTCTTTTGATTTTCATGCTTTTTCACAGCCTTCTTACAGCTCTATATCTTTTTTAGTAGTAATAATTTTTCTTTACACGCATAACTATGAGTTTTAATTACTTTACATTTTTGGTT